AGCACCTGTCATATAAACCAAAATAAAGTGTCTCACACGAGGTAAAATAAACTGCTCCAAATGACTTCACCTTTAAAATAAGTAAGACACACATTGACTTTTGAAGAATTTGACTTTCAAGGAAGTCATATACAGTAAATTCTACACACAAGGAAAATAAGTATGCTCTATGAACATTAAAACTAACGCATCTTTCCAAAAGACTTATTTTAAAAATCTGGTAAAATAGAATGGTGAACTTTTAGAATTTTAGAGTCATCCGGTGTAGGTATTTGGTTCAACTAAGATTTATTTGCTTAAAAATACAACATATTTCATAAGATAAGGAAATAAGATTGGATACTGCTCTGTCACAAACAGTGTAGACTCAAAAGTAATACCAGCTTAAATAGCAAAAATATTTTAAGCTTTCTATGACAGATAAATATATAATATGAGTGAAGAATACATGCTAATATTTTATGTGGAGCTGAGCAAAGTATTTTCATTATAGTGTTTTAATGTCATCTCTAAGACTGACTTCAAAGAAGGGTCATTCTTCAGGCTCACAAAGCTTGAAATATATATATTTATGATATAGACATCTATTTGGAAGTTTCCTTTTTCTTGTACAAATTATAACAGTTTTTTTTCCTCGAAGACATACATATTAAAATACCCCTAAATGTATTTTCCAGGGTATAAAACAGACCCCTTTGTTGGACTAATGGGCAAAAGAGCTTTAAATGCTGGTATGTATAAATCATGGTGGAAAATAAAAAGTATCTTAAATCTACTTCTATTACTTTCTTCCTAAGGCATAGTTTTCAGGTTATTAAAAAAGGAATAATAGATTATCAGTGAATATTTACAGTAGTAAAAACCTGATTTCAATACCTCTAGCCAAGAATATAGGTGATTAAACCATAATATCACCACACTGTCCATCTAGCTTTCTCAAACAGGTGCTGCCCCATTTTTCGCCATTACCTAACCTGAATCTTTGGGTTAGTCTTTGCCTTAGATCTGTTAAGTAAGTCAAACTCACCCTTACTAAATTTAAAGAGAGAAGGTACATTTAAAAAAAATTTTAGACTAATCTGCACTTATTACCAACATACTTTGTAAGTTTGCAAGATATTGTATCTGGCCGTCTTCCAACAAATACATGATAAATAAATCAACATCCATTTATATGAATCTTGTAGAGTTATAAAAGCTCAGAATCTAAATGTTCTAATGGATGGTGGAGAGTAAAATGTTCCATTCTAGTGCATTCAAACGGGTCCGTGATTAAGTGATCCAAGAGTGTTATAAATAATGTTTGGTTATAAAACTTTTAGAGAGAACGGATGTCACAGCCCTCCCCCTCATAACCCATTTTAATTCTAAATAGTTCTTTCAATTGATATGAAGGCTGCATCTTTCCATTCTACTTTTTAGTTTCCAACTTCTATGTAAATGCATATGTTTCTGAGCATATCTAAAAACCTTTATTTCTTAACTTAAGTGGGCCCTGTATCTTTTTCATAGAGGGTCCTTGAATTCTTCTCTTCTGAACACTTGCTACATTCTAAAGAGCAAAAATTGCTTTTAGTTGTAAACTGGACTTCTCAAGTGTTTTCCTTGGTCTAGAGAAACAAAGAGGATATAATTTTATAATAGGAAATATCACAGTTTACTAAATAGTAGGCAGAAGAACCCAAATGTAATATGTAAAAATACATTGAAGAATTGAGACAACCCAGATGTTGAATTGCTACAGCTTTCCCAAACAGAGCTTGATAATTTAGGAAACACTGGGGAGACTAAATTATTTGCATAGCTTCTTGGTTTTGCTGTAATTATAACGAAATAATCTCCAAGTAAAATGAATGACCAGAGAAAGACATTAAGAAATTTAAAATATCCATTTACCATTCAAGAGATTCCTCACTTTTCCCAGTAAAGATTATTTATGAATAGAAAAGCTAAACTGATCACACAGCCCTCTTTTAGGTATTTTTATAATACATCAGCCTTTTATTATTATTATTTAGCCTTTTAAAATTAAGCCAATGCTGTATGATAATTGGATTTTCATCCCCTGATACAGCATTGTGTTGGCACTGCTTCAGTCAATTCTTAGGTAACTTGCTGGATTTTAAATACCTTCGATGTTATCCTTAGAGGATTATGTGCTTTCTTTCATTCAAAGATACAGTATCTTTATACTGGCTTTTTGTTAAGTGCATTTGAGTTGAAAAACCCTTAGCAATTAGATTTTTCTTTATTTTACCTTCAGTGAATATAGAATTCAAATAATAGCCATCTAATTAATTAGAAAGTAATGAACAGCTGTTTTACTCATATAAAAGATTCCTGCCTCCTCGAAAATATATAACTGAAATATGCCAGCTTAATTAATAATTATCTGGAACTGATTGCAAAAATAATGCATCGTATTATTTACATCGCTTCTCTTCTTTCTAAATTTAGATACTATCTTTTTCCTTGTTTAACAGTAGTTTGGGGACTGCTCAGATTTAAGTTTTATAGAAGTTATTATCAGTGTGCCTAAAGGAAAACTTGGAACTGTGTTTACTAACACATACTCTCCTCTAGCTTTTGAAATGGAATACAAATTTAAAACACACTGCTTTTTATTTGTAGCCGAAGTAGACATTACCTTATATGACTGTGGCCTACTGGATAATCATATGAATCACAAACCATTTTCAGTTTGATTCAGACTTTAGAACATACTTAACTTTATAAATAATATAATGTGCAATTTAGGAAGGATCACATGCTATTAATGTAATTGAAGGCATAGTATAATTATAGCTAATAATAAATAGAAGTATAATCATGAATCAGATTCCACTTATGATTAAATCTTTGTTCCCTCATTTTAGTTCAGGAAATATAAAAGAAGAAAGTGGGTGAAAAACACAATCCAGAGTTAAGCAGGAAGCGTTTCACATACTCAGCTGAGCCATGGTTATCGTAAAGTCTGGCTCTGCTGTTGGCCTTTTTGAACCCCTTTAACAACCTCAAGAAATCTAAACCCCTCCTTTCAAGGAAGCCTTCATCTGCTAGTACTCACACAAAATTTTACTTATGGTTTCAGAGGGGTCAAGGCCCAAGCAAAAACTTCTTCCAGTCAAAAGGATTTTATGTCCCAACTAATTCTCTAATCTTGCCTTTATACAGGGCATCCTGAGTTTTAAAAAGCATAGTCGTCTCACTGCACTGTGTATCTAAATATATAAAGTGTTTGAAATTGTTCATGATAAAATATAATTTGGCAACTTTTTTTGTGCTGATAGCCAAGTACTGAAATTAGTTGATAATTATGTGTTAAGCACCTTTGTAATCAGTAAGTTTTCTGGCCATAAGGGTTCTGGGGAGGTAAGTTCAACTGTGTTGTTTCTAATGGCACAATTGACCTACCTATAGAGCATGAGGAGCCCTGGTGAGTTGTGGTTACATGTTGGGCTGCTAACCTCAAGGTCAAAGCTATCTGCAGCTATCTGCAGCTCCTCTGGAGAAAGAGGAGGATTTTTACTTCGCAAAGATTTACAGTCTCAGAGACCCACAAGGGCAGTTCTACCCTGTCCTAGAGGGTCACTGTGCATCTGAATCAACTCCATGGCAGTGAGTTTGAATAACAGAGCAGGGAAAAAAGGAGGCGGAGGCGGTGAGGGGAACCCAGCTAGTGCAGTAGTTAGAGGGCTCATCTGCTAATCAAAAAGTTGGTCACTTGAACCTACCAGCCTTTCCATGGGGAAAAGATGCAGCAGTGGCTTCTGGAAAGACTGCAGCCTTAGAAACCCTGTGGAGCGGTTCTGCGCTGGCGTAGAGGATTTCTAAGAGGTGCAAGGACCTGGTCAGCTAAAGGGTCTTTCAAGGCAGGCGTGGAGAAACCCCCGCTCATGAAATTGTTAAGCCCTCTGCTAATAACTGAAAGGCAGTGGTTCAAACCCACGTGCAGCTCCCCAGGGAGAAAGGAAGTGGCCATCTGTGCCGGTAAAGATGACAACTAGGGAAACCCTATGGGCAGTTCCGGTCTGCCCTCTAAGACAGAGAAGATTCAGACTTGACTCCATTAGGGCATGCAGAGAGAATGAGGCTCTCGTTAGCCTCCAGACCAGTTCACCTGGGGAGATGCCCCAAAGAGAAGAGAGGATACCTTTCCACCAGCAGGGGCTCTAGAACAGGGGCCAACAAACTTTTTTCTGTAAAAATAGTAAAAAGTTTAGGCTTTCTGGTCTTGGCAGTCTCTGTAGCAACGACTCAAATCTGCTCTTTTAACACCAAAGCAGTCATAGGCACCATGGAGGTTGCCGTGTTCTGATAACACTGTAGTTACACAGACAGGGGCTAGGTTTGACCCAGGGCCTGGAGTTGGTGAACCCCATCCTAAACTAAAAACCCCACAGTTTGTGTTCGTCCTTCTGCTTGGCATCTTCCTTTCCCTAATTCGCTGTGGGCGTCTGCTTGAGAATCGGCGGGGCACTCAGCTATGGAAATAAGCATTTAGGGCCCTCGGGGTATGAGAGGGAATCAAAGTAACTGGGCGCTGTGGTTAGGGCAGTTCCAGTCTGGATGGAGACTGAGGCAGGATTGGAAGATAAACCTCTTAGAAAACCATTTACAGAGGGCGAAAGTCATTATGAGGTAGAGTAAACTACTGTATGCCTTTGTCTTTATTTGTTTGATTTAGTGCCTTCTCTTGACAAAGCAAAAACAAAAACTTGACCCTCTCTGTTTTCAGCAGCTTTCGAGAGGAGCGCAATGCAGAATTATGAACGAAGACGTAAATAACCCCCTAGCATATTATGCATTGGGCTTGATTTGTGCCAATGGCCAGTGAAAGGTAAAATGAGAAAATTAAATATTTATTTAATAATAACTATTATTTGAGTTGAAAACTCAGAAAGTGTTTATTTTTCATATTGTGCCAACACGTGTTGTACAGATGTGTCCTGGTTCTAATGTGAGCTAGAAATCAGTGGTAATTTCCCCACGAAGCACAGTAAACAATACAGTTCTGAAGCCTGTCAAGGACATAGTCGCCCACGAAAGAAACCATCAGGGTTTGTCGGGCTTTCTTTGGAAGCAGTCAAGTCAGCTACTGATGAAAGGGAAGGAAACTTCCAGATAGTCCTGTGCACCCCGTCTTTGTTACACGCTGACCATGTAATATGATTTTCGTATCAAACTACATTTGTATCCCTGAAGCATGTTCCATGTTTTATGACCATATACAGATGTTTTAAAAAGTTACAATGTGGTACTAAAGCTTTATTTCATTGTATGGTGTGTTGTGATCGTTTTAAATAAAAGAAAAAATATCTTGAATGCTGTCATCTTCTTTCATAACATTTAGGTTAACTCATTGACCTCTCTTTCAGTGAACGAAATAGCATTTGCAAAACTAAATGCTAACAACACATAAAGCCACTACATATCTATTTCTTAATATCTATAATGTATAATATCAGCCTCAGTTTCCTGCTGTTGCTGTCCCTGTCCCTCCCCCTGCCTGCCTCCCTCTTCCTGTCTTCATCTCTGTGTCATACACAAACACACACAGTTATTTCATAAGTCATATGACACATGCTACATCCACGGAGCAAACGACTACATCCTAGATCCAAGACGCTAACTCTGTATACATATGCCTATGATTTCCTTTGACAAAGAGAACAGTTGCCTCTTTAAAGAGGCATTTCCCTGGTGACACCCTTGTGGCGTAAAACAGCACCCTACTATCCCTACCTTACTTGGCACCTGCCGAGTCTCACTAGAGATCCCCAACCAAACTCCCGCAGAGGTCACTGTGGGATGCAGAAAGGGTCTCTCAGGTGTCACGCTGGCATCCAGAGGTCAGCTGCTCAGAGGTATTTTCCTTGAGACCATTCAGCCATATAGAGCAATTAGACTCTATTGTCTGTCCCACCACAGGTGGGGCTCACACCCTACTGATAAGGATAGGGATTGCTTCCCTGAAGGGGAGCCCAGAGACAAGGGTTAGCCCACTCAAGGATGACCAAGGTTAGGCTGCCATCTTGAGTCTAGGGTCTGCCCATCTTGTCACATGTGTACCCCTAAGCCCTCCCCTTCCTTTTATGTGTACACCCCTAACTCATCCCTTTCCTGTGATGTATGTGGTTACCTGTAATCAGGGAAAGTACACATAAGCCTTGGTTAGAAATATATTGGGACTTCTCCCCTCTCCTCCTCCCTGTCTCTGCGCACCTGGTGCTGAGATCGTAGCCATCTTGGAGGTGAGCATGCTACCATGAAATGTGTCTGACTCCTTTATTTTACTTTCTCTTCTATCTCTCCTACCTTCTATGACTTTGCTGTGATCTTTATATATTATCGCCCTGCAATTGCACCTGTGGACCCCCACGATTGTTAGAGGCTGGCTACTCTACAGGTCCGAGCTGATACCAAAAGATGAGGGCCGAATAATGCAGCCTCACCCCCTGACTAAGACAAGATCCCTTTTCCCAAATTTCTAAGGCACGCTGGTGACTCCCTGGTATTCATGACATTCTCCAGCAGAAGAGTGTTATATAAATGATTATTATATAATCTTATATGTTATCACAAAGGATATGTTAAATGAGTCCATTTTCAGGCTAGTTAGTATGGTTCAAACAACAACACATCTGGTTTTCACAAAGGAAAACGAGCAAATAGAGAGAGAACATCTTATTTCAAATCGAGCACATGCTGAAATCTTCCCCTTTGCAACCAAATCATCATTTCTGATAAAAAGGCATAAAGAAAGGCAAGGGATAAGACGTTCTGTATTTACTTACGGGGATAGATTGATAGGTGGGCGTCCTTGAAGTGGTTTTTAAATTGCATAGAGAGTTGAAATATTAACAAGGAGTGAAATGGGACATTTCAAGAGGTGAATTAACAAGGGACGAGCACTATTCAGTGAACAGAAACTCGGTGAATTTGACATGGACTAGTGCATCCTGTTCATCAATGTTGAAATCATTTGTGGGACAAGACAGCCAACGCATGCATACTTCAACCCTTATATCTTTGAGATGCCTGGTTTTTAAAAGGCTTCAATAAACTTCTTTTCCTTATTGCACAAAACATGTAGGTATTACAAATTATATAATTATGAGCAAACTGAAGGAAATCAGAATCATCATCCAGAGCCCCCTATAACAGTAAGAACATTCTTTCTGAATAATAATATCCATGTGAACGAATAATAGACAACATTCCATATACATACTTAATCTACCCAAGAGCAATATTATCCTGATCAGTTGTGTTGTTATAGTTATTTACAGATGAGATGAGATGTAACAATTAGAGAGGAGTAAGGATTGGAAAGAAATAATTGAGAAGAAAATAAAATAAATTCTAGAAATCAAATGGACTAAACAAACCACTGATACAACAGAATAGTATACCGTGACTTTAAATTATGATGTACTTAATATGGAACAACATACACAATGTGTTAGACATGAAGTTTTTCTATATTTTATATCATGTATGTATCTTAAACATAGATATGCAACTGAAAGAATAAAGTCCTGGGTTTTAGATTTGAATATAACTCCATCACTGAATAGCCATGTGGCGCTAACCTGTCCTCTGGGTTTCGAATAATGATGTTGTCCACTGCGTGTACTGGACTTAGGTGAGGATTATGGGAAAGGGCGAAGGTAAATCTCTGTCCACAGTCTGCTGCACTCCATGTTGTATCACCCTGAGCTGTTGTCATTGTTCACTGCTCGCCTGAGAACCAGAGACAAAATTGGCTCTGTCTACCAGTCACTAGAATGTTTTTATCATTGGCAGCACACGAAGCAGCAGCAGTGTGGAGGCGGATTTTTACTACCGGTATTTGCCTCGCAAATCTCTGACTGCTTCACAGAGCGTGTGGCGCTGTGTGCTGTTCATTCCAACACTAGATAACCCCCAATGTCCCTTCCAGCTTTGAGAATCTGGGAATCGTGGCACAGTGCTGCATAAAAAGCACATGGGCTCATTTTCTCTCCAGGCCCCAAAATCCAGCCAAAGCATGAGCAGGGAAAGGCAAGCAAAACTTCAACTTTAAATTTGCCCTTGACACAATGGATGGATGTAAGGATTATGATAAGAGTTGTATGAGCTCCCAATAAAATGATTTTTTTTAAAAGTTTGTCCTTAGGAGAGATGTATTCTTACATCTCCTCTGTTGGCCTATTTCCTTTAACCAAAATAAGGTTTCCTACTCCAAATTCTTGCTTAAATATTTTACTTGTTTTTGAAGTGGCAGAAGCACCAATTTATATCAGTATGTGGGAGACACTCATTGATTGTACTGTGAAAGAAGTCTCTCTGTCCATGCAGGAGACCCCGTATTGATTCCCAGCCATCACCCATCTGACAGTGGAATCCTGTGTGTTGTTTTGAGGCTGAAGAAGTTTCTGTCCATTTTCCAGACTAAGAAGAAAGACCATCTGCTTCTTAAAGTTAGCCAGTGAACACCCTGTGAACCACAAGGATATGGGGATGCTATGACACCAAGCAGGATTAGGTCCTGTTGCCCATACGGTCGCCCTAAGTCAAGGACCCACGCCATGGTAGCTAACAACATTTCATTATGTTTCTTGGGAACTTTATGATTTGGGTCAGGGTCTAGTGGGGGAAACCTGTTGGTACGCAGAGCTGAATAATTGAAAGGAGAGTTTAATAAAAGAAGTAATTATGAAAGTGTAAAAATAAGATAGGGAAACCATCATTGAAATGTGGTTCTTGGCGAGTCCTGCCACCCTTAGGTCTGAAGACAGGCTGAGGAAGGGAGAGTAGCAGCTGTGTGCTCAGGAGCACCAGGCAGCCTGGGCTTCCCTTGAAGAACAGCCAACCCAAGGTCATTGGAATGGGCTGGGAGAAGGAAAGCGGGGAGAGGCCCTTTTATTCCCAACCTCACTATCCGCCTGCTCTGTGCTCACCCGCCGG